ATGATAAGCAAGAAGAAAATTTAAAAGCTGCACTAAATTCAATCTTATAAGAATTATTATATGATATTGCTAACTGAGGAACTTTAGTATAACTTTTTTAATTGGAATATATCTATTTTTTCATTGCAATAAATTTTAGAAGTTGACAAAAAAGACACTTTGTGCATTTAAAGCATGTTCTGGGATAATAATTTTAGTCATTAGAAATGAATTTTTTTAAAAAAATGCATGTTAAATATATATATATGTGACTTTATATAGTATAATATTGGTTGATATACATATGTCTTATGTTAAAGAAATCAGCAATCAGAAATCAGAAATTATCGTTTTCTTTTTTTTTTAGTCAAAATTTCACATTTTTTTTGCAATTAATCGATTATTGCACTTTGCAAAAAGATATAACCTCTGCAGATTACAATATCAGAAATTTTGTAGATATTAAGAATCCTACCAATTTCAAATAAATATAAATATGACTGATCGAAAATAAGCATGGCAGAAGTTCAATTTTATTGGCTACACATATGTAAATCACAGATCCTAAATTGTTAAATATGATTGGCTAATAAAATTAGTAAAATTTTATACTTGCTGTTAAAAATTTTGTAGCTAAGCATTCATCACAAATAGAGCAGTGTTTTGTATAGTTTCTGCATAGTTGAGTTTACGTGTAATTAAAAGAGTGTAGATTGTTGTTGTAGTCTAGTTTTGTTATATTCAAGCTTTGCTATGATTAAGTTCACTGTAGTCAAGCTTTAGCAATTAAGTTTTCTGGGTCAAGTTTTGCTGAGTCAGGTTTCGCCAGGTCAAGTTTGTTAGCCAATTTTTGCCTTGGTCAGGTGTTGTTAGTTGGTCAAGTTTCTCTGAAGCCTTTCATTATTGCTAGAGTTAGGTTTCTTGAGTCAAGTTTTTTCGAGTTAAGTTTCTCAAAGTCAAGTTTTTCTGGGTCAGGCTTCTCTTCTCCAAGACCAAGGTTTATAGTAAGTTTTATTATTCTTATTTTTTAAAGTACAAGAAATATTTATTATTTGCAATGACTAATCATTTTTATCTAAAAAAAAAAAAAAATCAAAATTTACGCAAAAATGCCCACCAAAAATTTGGGCCCTTGTTCAATTATTAGTTGTACGAATACTAATGTTCAATTTCATACAATTACGGTACTTGTTTATGAAAAATTTCAAAGGAAACAAACATTAGAGATGTATCCTTACCTTGAGGTTGGAAAACAACTATACCATCTTATTATTGCAAACTAGTAGAGCCATATGTCAAAAAACATGTTCAAACTAAAAATATGCTAGAGCCAATAAACCTCCAATCAAATAATTCAATTGATGTATTTTATTTTAGATTTAATTTTTTTTTATAAATTATTTATTTTATATATTTATATACTATATTTTTTATTAATTTAAAAATAGAATACGTTCGCTTCAAGTATAGATATGTTAACTAAAGCATTATACTATTAGCAACGCCAGGACCGTACTAGTTTGGAATTGGATCCAGTAAATTTCGAATGAATGATTGAAACAATTAATTCAGATCTTAAAGATTTTTTCAATTTTATAATGGAAGCAATTATTTCTAAAGAGCACTCTGCTTATAGCATAAGCGAAGCTAAAAAATCAGTGGTTGGGTTGTGCTATTTAATCATGGGTTTACACAACAAATTTGTAAACCAGCATAAATTAGAAGTAGGGTTGTATTTAAGAGCATCAGGTATAACATGAGAGGCTATTGACACAATGTTAAGTCTTGGATATTCAGTGTGCTTCAAGATAGTAGATATATATTAAAAAAAAATTCAAAAAGAGCATTCAGCAAAAATCAATAATTATTTTTTAGAACATGTAATATTGTATTGTATTTTATTATATAATATATTAAAATATATTTATTAAAATAAA